GAGCGGATTAAGGAAGCAGCCCCGGGGTGGCGGCTCGAGGCTCCACAGCGGAGGGACGGGCTGTGTGGGGAGGCCTGGCCACTCTCCCTGCCAGACAGCCGTCCTCCTCCTGAAGGCTCTGAGACACGGGCTGGGTGAGCTGGGGAGGCTGCGTGGCCAGGAGGGTGGGCGTGGGAGTGCACCAGGAAGCATTCACCCCCCGCTGAAAGCCAGGCTGTGCTTGGAGGAAGCCATCAGGGAGGGGTAGTGTGAGGCCCTCTCAGGGACAGAGGCGGGGCGAGGGGCGGGGCGAGGGGCAGGGCGAGGGGCGGGGCCTGCTTGCTTAGCTGGGCGTCGGGGATGGAGGGAAGCAGCATTGCCTTCTCTCGGAGACCGGCCCTGTGACCTCAGCGGCCGCCATGAGCACCGTCCTCCCCGGGAGTCCCCATCGCCAAGTCACCACCATCCCCCGTGAGTACCGCCATCACCATGGCTACCACGGTCTCCACAGTTACCATCCCCGCTCTCGCTACTGTCATCACCATGGCTGTCCCTGCCGCCACCATCCCTGTTACTGCCACCACGACCACCACGGTGACCACAACCCCAGTCACGCTGGGTACCACTGCCGCTTCCATGCCCTGGTTGCCCGCCCACATCGAGGTAGGAGACAGGCTGGGGACATTAGCTGGGGTGTGAGGTCCGAGACAGGCACGGGCCCTACCCAAGGGGCAGCCGCCGTGGCCGCCCCCGCAGACAGCTGGCCGCGTCAGGGCCCCACGGCTGCAGCTGAGGGCGGCTGTCCGCATTCGCTCACTGCGCTCTGACACGGGCTGGCGCGGTGCCGACCCCGCCAAGGCAGGAGAAGGGGTGCTCGGTCACCCGACGACCGCGGACTGTTTGCCGAGCCCACTTCCTTATCGGAGAGCCAGCTTCACTTGGATGCTGGCCGGAAGCCACCTGCTCGGCTCCTGGGCGGCCTCTCGGGCCCTTCCTGCTTGGGACCTCTGCCCTTCCTTTGCTCTCTTAAACGCCACCCTGCTATCCCCTGAGTCCGTGTCTCTAATTCTTTGTGAGCTTGGGACAAGAACCTGGTCATCTTGCCGTCCTGAAAACGGCGCTGGCGTTGGGCCTGACCACCCCAGCATCCTGCATCGCCATCACCTGGTACGTGGGAGTGCACCAGGAAACCACCAACCACCACCTGGGCTGGTAGTTCCTGTCTGGCCCTCAGGCTCGGTCCTCCCTGACTCCATGTCTTGGGAGGCTGGCCTTTTCAGATACACCAGAGAGCCCCTTCCCTCACTCTGGTCCTGCCTAGGGAGGCCCCGC